AGGGGTTCTCATGTCCAAGGAACGACTTGTATCTTCTAAAACGACAAACTTAGCTCTAAGGGCTTTTGCTCAGATTGTAAAATCGGCCTTTGCTCCGCATGAAACCTTGCCGGGGTCATGGGACGTGCGCAGCATTAGACAACATTCGGATCACCTTGGAAAGTAGCCGAGAAAAGAAGAGAAACGAACCGGACGGATGGTCCTGGTGACCCGCCTCCGAATGAAACAACCCACCCGGCTGAGAAGTTGTACCATAGAGATGTTCTGCCCAGAGCCTCGATGACCTTGGACTTGGCGTACTTCTACGAAATGCTATGATAATTTCTTTTTTTCGATAAGTTGATTGTCTGGCATCTGTTTTATTTTTTACTTTCAGTAACTCATGACTGGTGGTACTTTCTCTTGAAGAATAAACTAATATTTTTTATGTTTTAACATCGGACAGTTTTAGATTGTTGTGTCAGAAGTAAAAAGAGGTAAAGTGTGTAGCTACTAGATGACATAGGAGAGGGGGTTAAATTAATATTAAAATAATCCAGTATAGCACTTTTGATGATTTTTATATAAAGGTTTAATGTACATTTCACTTAAGATAATAAATACTTATTGCTGCTGAAACCTCTTAGGTGGCTGTTTTTGTCCTGCGGTTCCAAATGACCCCCTTTCCTCACCTCATCTGCAATGTCTCCATTGCATTTTTCACAAATGGGCATGTTTGCACCTTCCTAATTTAACTAGAAGATTTTTATTTTATTTATTATTATTATTAAAAACATTTTTTTAATCCTCGCCTAAGTACATGCTTTTTTAATTTTATTGATTTGAGAGCGAGCGAACAAGAGAAACATTACTGTGAGAGACATTGATCGGTTGCCTCCTGTACATGCCCCAACTAGGGATCGAACCCGCAACCTATGTATGCGCCCTGACTGGAAACAGAACCCACAACCCTTTGGTATATGGATGATGCTCCAACCCACTGTGCCACCTGGACAGGGCAAAGATTTAAATTTTTTATACATGATTTCTTTCTCATGACTTCTGAAAAACACTGTTAATGATTTTTACTAGATTCTAAAAGATTTCTATGCCATTACAATTAGGAAATCAATGCCTGGGGTCTGGCATTTTATAATGTGTTGTTAAATGTGTTTCACATATTTATTGAAGAATCAGTCATTAACTATTTGCTTACCATATTTTTGGGCACCACCTAGATGCCAAGCATTGTGTAGATTCCCGGGCTGCTTAACTGTGTTAGTTCTAAGGCTACTGCTTCAAAACTGTGAACATCGAGCTGTTCCACACACAGCTAGGACTCGACTCCATAACTCTGGCCAGAAATATTCCTGGTAGTTTAAACCACATTTAACTAGAGCAGGAAGATAGTTAGGTATGAAGCCTTTTTTTTTTTCTTAACCTTGGAGAAACAAGGCCAAACAAAACAAACCTAGCACAGGCCTTTGGATGAAAGGCCTTCTGTTAAGGATTGAATTGACTATGGCAGGCCCCTCTGGCCCTGACTGCTTCCTGGTACTCAGGTAGTTCTGCTAAAGGGAGAGGCCTTGACGGCTTCGTTGCTCCTGGCTTTGAAGGTCAGGTGGTGGGGACTGTCTGGAGCGGTTGATTACGCAGAGCACGGCCCAGATTATCTTAAACACACAGAGAGATCAACACTCCTCTGGGGAAAACACAAGAGTGCGGCATAGTGTTTGTTTCAACGGGAGGGGGGTCTGTGCTCGGACATGCCTCTGTTCTGCTCACAGATAGTCAAAGGCTCCCTGCTGCTGCATGAAGACATTTCCCAGGCAAGTGTTCAAGGTTCTCCACGGCCTGATCCAAACAGATGTACGCAGCTTTCTTTCACTCTCGACCTCAACCCAAAAACTCATGAGTTCAGCCAACCAGACGAGTCGCGCTTCCTGGGTCAGGCTTCGATTTTCTTCCATGTGTGTTCCAACTTCGGTTTTTCCTCCCCCTGAATGCCAAACTTTCCCTCTCCATCCCAATATATCCAAATCCCGCTTCTCGTTAGAGCCCAGCTTAAATGCACCCTCTCCCTAGACGCCTTCCCTTTCATCTGAAAGTATCTGCTCCTTCGAGTCTCTACTTATCTGCTCTTTGAGGGCACCTTGACTTTTCCACCATGATGGTGGCATAAATGTTTTCCTCTTCCGAAGCTCCTCAGAAGTGTATGATGTGTCTTTATTTCTTTTTACCCCGTGTGATGCCTAATAAAATGTCTTGCACAGAGTAGGTACTCAATAAGTGTTTGCTAAATGAACTTAAGGACTGAAAAATCAGAAAGTGAGTGGTTTATCCAGAACTACAGTCCATTTGTTTTAATCACTAAAGAAAATACTCTAGTTCTCAACTCTCCGACACCAGGTCTAGGTGAGCTGTTTCTACCCTGTACTAACCTCTCCAGCCACATCTGCCCTTCAAAATGCCTGAAAAGTAAACTCATGAATTATTTCAGGCCACCAGGGGGCCTCGTGCGGCTACCTGAGTCCAAAAAGAAACACCATGGAATGACTTAAATTGTAATAGCGGACGTGGGATCGTATCTGGAGATAGAAAATCTCTCTCCTGCATGTGAGGACTCATCGAAGATTCTCCATTGAGCACCCCCCTGTACCCCCCCACACACCACTTCACAGTGGCTATTTCTGGGTTCTCCTTGAAAGTATGGGAAAGGCTTGCCCTGTCTATGGAGCCTTTGGTCACATTAAAGGGTACACACCCCTGCAAACAGACAGTCCTACGCTCAGAGATAGTCCTAGTCAAACCCAGACTTAAATTATGCTATCACAATTATCTCACAACGTGTCTTTACCGGGCAAGGTTTGTCTTTATAAATGACTTCATTGTATAGCAGTAAGCAGATATGAAACGCATTCATAAACATAATGGGGCATATATGTATTAAAATAACCTGGCCCTATCCTGGAGCATCAGAAACTAGCTGTATCACCAAGCAGGTTTTCCCTAAAACCCACATACCCCAGAATGCACAGGAACGATGCTTAACCTCGGCCCGTGGAGCAGGTCTCTGTCCAGGCGAGAACCACAGCCACACAGGTGAACCTGCTCTTTCCACCTCACTGTCTTAGTTAATCTAGGTAGTCTTGCCTGGAGAAGGTGGTCAGGGTCAAGTGGATTGTGCAGGTGGCTGAGCCCAGGAGAGCCGGGTCATAAATCCTCAAACTTACTTGTTTATACCACGGCCGCTGAGAGGGGGAGAGAGAGGAGCCCGGGGAGGGGCGGGGAGAAGGGGAGGAGATATCCCGGTCACCCAGGAAGGATTATGTTTTTGAACTTGGAAGATACGGTTATGAATCCCAGCTCTTCTGTTGAACTAGTCAGATGATCTTGAGAAGTGAAGCCTGGTCCTTAAAATAAGGTTAATTTTTAAGAAGTTATTTTGTAAAGTATAAATTGCTGCTTATACTAATATCTAATGTGGACCTCAGCTCCTTTCTCTACTCATTGTTCCAATGTGTCGTTTAGCATCAAGCAACCCCTTGTTGTGGATCAGAGGCTTTACTCAGTCCCCGGGTTTAACCTTGACATTATCCACAAGGCTCTCTGGACCCAAGATAAACTGGGGAAAGCACCTGTTCCGAAGATGAGTCATAACTTACATTTCCTTAATTATAAGCTGCAGTGCTTTCACGTATACTGGAGTCCTTGCAAAGGCAGATTTAATATGGAAATTCAGCGAGGTGCCCTCAACAACAACAACAACAAACAGCAACATCAGGAGAGTGAGAAATCCCCCTCCCCCCCGCCATTAAAGCCAATTTTTTCCTGGGCTGCCCCACAGAAAGGAAGACCAGGGCAGAGATCTAAAGAGAAACAAAAGAAAGAAATTCCTGGTTCCTGGCTTTTGAACCCCCAAGGGCACCCCAGTGATGTACGGCTTATCTAAGGAATTTCAAGGGAATTTTGTTTAACTTGATTTTTACATCACTCCCCAACTTGAACACTTAATCTTGTGCTCAACAGACTCCACTGCACCTGATATTACTCCATACTTTCCACCACAATTTCAGGCTGGAAGTGCTAATGTCCACCCAGCTCTGCAGAGGAGCAAACTAGGGTTCAGAGAGTGTCAGTGACCTACTCCATCGAGGTCTCACAGCAAGTTAGTCTAGAGCCAGGGCCAGCAGGCTGACCAGATATTACACTTATCCCAGATGTACACTTAGTCATAACCTACGGTATCATTTCCAGGATATCTCTTTAGGAAAGGGAGACAATAAAGGTAATCCATCACCTACTTTTGA